GAGATTCGCTACACACACACACACATTTGTCTCCGAAAAGCAGAGCAGGAGCAGGGAAACCACGACTCACGGTGCAAGACACTGCTTCGCCTCCATGAGCACAGGCAGCACGGAGGAGCGACGAAACACGGAGCAGGTCAAGCGCTGCCGACGCTCAGACAGCGGTGAGCGCACACAACCTTCCAGCCCGAGCCGGGACCGCGCCGACGAGACGGCGTCACCCTCCCCAGCTCACCCCCTCCGCCACCCGAGCGCTGATCCTTCCACGGCTGTGGCTATGGAGACGGATCTCAGGCAGGAACACAGTGGCCGCTTCATTTTTTCTTAGGTTTGTGTTTAAAATGCCCGATTAAGGATGCGGAAGGTCGGCAGCAGAACACACACAACAGGGAGGGGACGGCACCGCGGCCCGACTCGGATCTTTCTCATTGTCCATTTGTAACGTGCAGAAAGAGCCTGGAGAAGCACCTGCAGCCCGTCACAGCCTGCCACAGCGCTCCTAACATTCCTCTGGGACCGGAGCATCCCGAATCAGGGATGTTATCCGGCAGCATCCTTACACCAGCATACATCCTGCTCTTCCTGAACTCAACCGGTAGCGAGCACAGCGCTGCCAGCACGACGGCGATGTGCCTGCGGGGTAAGAATTGTACGGTGAGCTTGTTTACAGCCCATTTTTGGATCCCTGTTTGGATGGTGGATACACGGCCGGCACACGACGCGCCTGCTCAGGTTCCGCCGCAATACTACACAACGCAAACCCAACTCCGGCCTTTTTCCCGCTGAAGGGAGACCTTTGTCTCCCCAGTAATGAGTGACATTACAAACCGCCATTTTCAGCGGGTGCAATGATTTAAACCCACACAAAAGACCAAAAGAAGAGAAGCATTTAGGAGTTCACTGCTTTAATTCATTCGAGTTTAGCGTCGTTATGAAAAATCAAGTCTTTAACCGGCATTTTATGAACAGAAACACGTTCCCTGCCACCAAGGCTCAGTCTCAGTCACGAAAGTGTAAAATACAGAAGCAGCTTAACCGGAGTCGGCGGGAAACCCTGGAGAACCTGGGTGGGGAGCACTGGGACAGGTTCCCAGAGAAGCTGTGGATGCCCCATCCCTGAGAGTGCCCAAAGCCAGGCTGGATGAGGCTTGGAGCAACCTGGGCTATGGAAGGTGTCCCTGCCCATGGCAAGGGGGGGGACTGAAGGGGCTTTGAGGTCCCTTCCAACCCAAACTGTTCCATGGTTCTATGATTCCATGAAGCTGGACAAGACCCAAACCTGGGGTATCCCATGTCCCAGGGCCAAGAGCCTCTCCCTCTGCACGTGGAACAGCGGAGAAACGCCAGTGCCTGGTCACCGCTTTGTGGTAGCGAGTGGCCACCGAACACCGAGAAGGGACAAAACACAACACGGGGTGGGGGGGATCACCACAGTGACCAGCTCAGACACGTCAGGAACCATGATTCCAAAGTCCTCAGCAGCACCAGGACGAGAGGAGGCAGCAGTCGGTCACCAGGCAAACCCCTGCATTGGCAAAAGATGCTTTGGCACAAGCGGCTCTGTGCCAGCTCTGGCGGCGCCAGCTCCGAGCTGTTCACGCAGGCTCACCCTGACCCGCTCCAGGCACGAATCGAATGGGCTTAGGGAGCTCTGAGCAGGGCTCCAGCTGGAGCAGGCGCAGAAGGGCTCCCGTCTTACATCGAACCTGGACAGAGACCTCACTCCTTGGGCAACGGAGTTTTCCAGGCTAAGTCATCCGCCCCAGCAGCCAGAGGAACATCACTGCCTCCAAGGGGATGAGCCAGCCACCCGCACTATGCCCTTGGCACACGCTCCGGGATCCAGGAGCGACGGAGGGGTTTCTAAAGCCCAATTAGCCTCAAGGAAAACGAGCGGCAGGTTTAAGAGAGGTCAAGTGGCAACGCCAGCCCTACGTCGTGCTATGTCGTTGGGCGACTGGCTAGACGTGTTTCAGACGCTGGAATTTCTTCTTAATGGGCTGGGATATGATAAAGCTGGTCCCCGAGGACAGAACACATCCCCGCCTCAAGCTGTCGGGAGGAGACGGAGATGAAGGCAGCTACAAAGCGGTAGTGTCCAGGCAGCCAGCACAAAGTTATCCCCAAGCAGTTTCCAACGGAGAGGCAGCAGCGAAAACAGCGTTTGGGCCGTGCTGAGGCACAGGGGGAGCCGGGAACTGACTGTCCGACCCTCCTTGGCAAAGGGGGCATCCATGCAAACCACCGGCGAGGCCTCACGGTTAGCTGCCGGGAGTCGAACACGCAACTCGAACTCGCCCGTGAAATGGGGGGACAGGAGAACTCTGGCAAGGGGAGCGGACAGGGAAACTCCAGGAGAAGAAGGGCTTCCAAAAAACTAACCTTTGCCAAAATCAGTCCAAACCACCAACTCAAACCTGGTGAGGCCCAAAACTCTTATTCTGGAGAGATTTTTGGGCTGGCTACGAGGTAGTGCGGTACACTATCATCAACATAAAAAAGGGCAGTGGTGCCAAGGTGGGTCCTAAATCTACTTTGCTTGGATTTTGGGGATAAATTCTTAGGGAGCCTTTAACGCGGAGCAGCGGAGACTCTCCTCGCCCACCTCCTCCGGGGGCCGCGCAAGCCTGCGCAGCCTAGAAGCTCGGCGCCTTCCTCGCATCCAGGCAGCTCCTCTCGCGCAGGTGGATCTTCCCGTGCTGCAGGAGGTGCTGCTTCTGGGTGAAGCGCTTCGGGCACTCGTTGCATTGGAAGGGCCTCTCGCCTGTATGGATCCTCTGATGCCGGATCAGTTTGGAGGGATGGCTGAAGGTCTTCCCGCAATACGAGCACCAAAGCGTCTTTCTGCCCCGGCCCGAGCGCGTACACTGGTGGATGATGAGGCTTTTCTTCTTGGAGAAACACTCCTGGCACTTGTTGCACTTGTAAGGCTTCCCCCGCGGGTGAGCCCCCTGACTCGGCTTGTAGCCACCGCCACCGCTTCTCAGGCGCCTGGGGCTGGGACGTCCCTCCGGGGCTGGGACGCTGGCACAGACTCCTGCATCCTGGTATTCCATGCGGGTCCAGTGGTGTTGCTGACAGAAGAAGCCCCTCTTGTCTCCAGTGTGCTCACTGCTGCCCTCCTTAGGGGTCAGCATCTCCCTCACGCAGAAGCACCTCCCGCACATCGTACACGACTGGGGTCTCGCCTGGGAACAGCTTTGGGCGTAGAACATGACGGCGCTGCTTCTGCCCAGACCCTCTTCCCCCAGGGTAGACGGCGCCGACCTGCCCGTGCTCTGGTTTCCCGGCCACGCGGGAGAGCTGGACTGACTGAAGGGCAGCACCTCGCTGGGATGCTGGGAAACCAGCTCCTCCGACTCCCCGGCTGACGTCGCGGGGGGCTCTGGGATTTGGGAGCATTCCTCGGTGTCCAGCTGCTCTACTTTGAACACTTCCACCTCATCTGCCAGAACTGTCAAGAACAAAGAGGACAGTCACTGGTGTGAGACACAGGGGGCTTCCGAACCGCCCCCCACGCTCCTTCCCCCGCTGCCCACGAATCCAAAGGGCCTGTCTCGCGTGGGGACGTGCTCACAGCGCCTTCGACCACTTCGGATGGGCGTGTAACACAGAGACCTCCTCCGCTGTCCCCACCGAGGCAGCACGAGCACATTTACTCTGACGACTCGCTGCTTTCATCCCTGAGCTACGTGCTGGGGGTCTTCTACTCCCATCACACCGGCCCTAAACGCTTCCTGACTCTCATTCCTACCGGAACGTTTAATTTCACTTGACCCGGACAGGAATAGGACCCACTGGAGGAAAACCAGCCAAAGCTCGAGGACAGAAGCTGCCAAGACACAACCCTTTTGGAAGCTGCCGACAGCGCGAGGGCGGAATTGAAGCACGGATTGGTCTCCCGCCTGGGAAGCGTCACGGCACAGAGGTGACGTGAGGGGTGTGAGAAAAAGCGACCGTGATTTAGTCACCACAGGGCAAATTCCGTCAAATACCAAGCGAGCCCCACTGACGCCTCCGATGGGGCACGAGGAGAATGAACAGAGACCGGGATGGAGGTTGAGGAAGTGACCAGTGAGCTGGGGACGGTTTACTAACGGGGTAAATACCACACTACTACCGGGAGTAGCAGCCATCCCAGCTCACTAGCGACTCCCTCTGGGAGCTGCTGGAGCTCTGGAGCACAGCTCCTTCTTCCACCCGGCAAAGAAACTCCAGGAGGAGTGCTCTGGACAGGACCCACAGCAGGGAGCGGAGCCTCCTGGGCTGGCTGCCAGGAAGAGCCGTGCTCTGCAGCAGCCAGGAATGTGGGGAACGGCCTCCCTGCTCCCTCAACTCGGACAGCAAGCCAGAGCCAAGGTTCACTAGTTCGGCTCCAGTCACCGCCCTCCCTGGCACGGACCCTGGCTGTATCCCCCCCCTCTGCCATGCCTTCCACAGGCTGCATCCTTCTCTCCGACATGGAAGCTCTCCGGACCGTAGCCCTGCCTCCTGCGCTCCCAAGGCTGAGTGAGCAGAACTGCGCTCGGCTCCCCAGATATTTGGCACAAAACCATCTTTGGAGATACGCCGCCCCACAGCGGGAACACCATGGAGTCCCCTCATCCCCCGCAGCGCTGTGCGATCGCTCGGGACTCACCCACGCTGAGCTCGGTAAACCTTGCCTCCTCGGCAGCTCCCTGCTCCTCCGCACACGGCTCTTCCTCTTGTTTCACCCCGCAGTCAATGCTCGGCTCGGGAATTCCGTAGGCCGCTAAGGGAAAGCAGGTATGACTTTACTCACGGCACCGTGCAGCTCTCCCCTCGCTGCGCCCAAGTTTGCTGCCAACTACTCAGTCCCTACTCCCGGGTGCTTTACCTGCCCTGACGAGAAGCAGTTTCCACCTCTCCTACCCCCAGTTTCCGAAGCATGCCCTCCCTGCCCTCAATCCCTTTCGGAATGACGCTTACCAGGGACGGGTACATCCAGCATCGTTCTTCCCCCCAGCCTTTCCTGTCCCGAAGGACACCACGCTCCTTCTCCGCTGTCCGGGCTGCTCACGTCCAGTTTAAACCCCAGGGACTCTGCTAATGGGAATAACCACACCTGTTACGCCTTTTCCTACCACCGCTACTCCCCCTGAAGCCTCTCTGCTCCTCTGGAGATCCGGGAGCTCCCTCCGCAGCAAATCATGCTCTGACATCCGCTGCCTGGCGACAACACCGCGCAAACGTCGTGCCCGGGGATAAAGCTGTGATTCGTTTCTTGCCTGTGCTTGGATCTGCTGGAATCTCTTCCAAAGCCTCGTTCCCATCGCAGGGAAGTTCTCCTCCCTGGAGCTGGAGCAGGCCAGGTTCGGAGATGGCGTAATCTGCTGAGGAACAGAGATACGGGGGTTTCCGCGCTGCACCGAACCGCTGCCGGCGCCACTCGCGCCAGGAGCGGGAAGGAGCCTGGATGGGGCGCACAGAATCCGCCGTGTCCACGGGGAAGAACACGCTCCCAGAGACAGAGGGACCGGATGCACCTTACACCGCCCTCGGCAACAGGCACCAACTTCTCCGTGTTCACCTCCAAGAGCGGGAAAAGCTCCCCACAGACAGCTCCTCGGGAAGCGCCGCCATCCAAACCAGTGCTGCTTACCCAGGGATTTGGTCTCTCCTTCTGGCACATTTTTCTGCGGCTCCTTCTGCAATTTCTCCGGATTCTCATGCTCTCGAGCAGGGAAGTGAGCGTGGTCCTTTTCCAACGCCGCCAGGGCCTGCGAAGTCACACACGCAACACAGCTGGAACCCAGAGAATCCTCGTTTCCGTTTATTATCGCTTGCGGATGCCAAGGAGGAAACAAACTCCCACCCTGGGGCATTCTCGGGACGCAAAGATTCCCGGAGAACCAGCTGCCAATTCCACGATATCCCTCCCTCTCCCTCAGGTGCAGGGCCTGATCCCACGGCACAGGCAGCCCGCAGACCTCGGAGCAGGGAAAACCCCACCGTTTATGGTAAAAACACCACAACCCGCCCTTTTTTCGCAGCGAGATGGAGCCGAATCCAACCGCAGCCGAGCAACTGCTCCCTGCTCGAGGGCAGCCGGCGGCAGGAGCGATTACAAACCAGGCCGTTCCCTGGCTCTCCGGGCATTCCTCGGTTCTCCAGACGTTTTCAGACGGCTTCCAGGAATTAAGCTTTGGAGCTTCCCGCACCCCCCAGCACTTACCGGGCCATCTTCTGCCTTGGGGAGTTCACCCCCCGGGGGCAGCTGCATGTTCCAGTCGTTCCTGTTCCGCAGCAGGTTCTCCATGTCCTCCAGGCGCCGCTGGAGCTGCCCGTACTCCTGGATGAGGGTGCCCAGCGCGGCCAGCTTGTTCCCCAGCTGCTTCCCGAACTCCACCACCGTTTTCTCACAATCCGAGTATTTCTT